CCCTATGGCCCCGAGTGTGGTCCAGAATTCGGCAGCCTCTTGTCCGCGCGTGGGAGGTCAGCGTGGACGCCAGCTTCTTCTGGGGCAAGTCTGGCGACACCGCCGCGGACCGCGCGGCCTGCGTCCACAGCCTGCTGGCGGTCCACGCGAAGAATCGCAACTTCGTCAGTGGCGCGTTGTACTGCGGCGCGCGTAGGTTCTGCGAGAACACTTCTCCCGCTGCCACGCGGGCAGCTGGCAGGCGCTGCGGCTTCGACGAGCAGCTGCTGAAGCGCCTGCGCGCGGTGCACCGAAGACCACGGAGGGCCCGCTGCCTTGGGGCAACCTCTCGGCAAGTGCTGCCGAATGGAACGGCCATCGCTGGCTGCAGCTGCGCGACTGGCATCGCGAAGCTCATGACTTTGCGCGTTCTCAGAACTGTGGCGATTGAAACGCCAGTGTGTCGGCCGCTGAACCTTGTGGGCGACTTGAAGACCCACGCGGTTGGCACGCTGCGCACGGTGGCACAGCAGCTCAGCAGGGCTGCGGTGACCGTCTCGACCAAGATGGAGAAGCTGGGCCTGCCGCTCGACCTGGCCAAGACGTGCTTCCCCTGCTCGTGTCAAGAGCTGCTGGAGGCTTTGCTGAACGACGAGGACTGGCCATCCGACGAGAGCTTCCTGTCCGTCACGCATCGTTACTTGGGTGGCGACGCTTCCTGTGGCAGAGCGCGCCGCGTGCCTGCAGAGAATCAGCGCCTCTCAGCCGCGTCGGCCTCGGCGACTCGGCTCTCCAAGATTGGGAGGGGGTGGGGGGGGCTTCTCGGGCGCGCAGGGCTGGGCCAGTCGCTAAGGCCGCGTGGGGGGCGCACATCGATAGTCTAAGGAATTCGGCCCTTCGGACCCTCAGAGTTGCCTCGGCCAAGTCCTTCGGCCCCCTTCAGCCTGGCACCCCCCCTGGTCTCGCCTTCCTTCTCTCTGGGGCCCCGCAGCGGGGCACTTTTGTCCATGTGACGGTGGATGCCGTCGAGACGTTTGTTTCGGCTTGTTGGCGTCGCAGCGTCTCCATGCAGGTGCTCCAGTCGGCTTTCGAAGATACGCTCCAGACGGCCGGCAAGGCCAAGCCGTGGAGCTCGGCTAAACGACCCGCGGCGGCCCGCGCGCTCCCGCTTGGTCGCATAGGTTGGCGGCTGGATGTTCCCAGTGCAGCTATGATTGACCAAGCGGGTAGAGCGTAGAGCCTAGATGAGTTATCTCCTGCCTTTTTCTGTCTCCGCGTTCGGGAGGCGTGTGAGGAGGCCATCGTCCTCGATGAGCAGGATCGGCAGAGTGCATTCGAGCCTGAGTGGAGAGGCCCGATGCGCTTCAAACCTGCGCTCGATCTCCTCTCGAAGCAGAATTCACCCACCTGGTCGGATCACTGCCGTCATTGTTTGCGTTGCCTCATTGCGAATCGGCAGTGGTGCCAGCTGAGATGTCACAGTGCTTGTCAGGATATGTATCCTGTGTGTCTGGCCTGCCAGGCCGCCCCTGGGACCGTGTTCCACCGTCGCATGACGTTTGCAGAAGGAACGTGATCAGCCCTGACGTTCGCAAGGCGGCGGATAGAGTCAAATTGCTCTCGCCCAGGGCTCAGGAGCTCTTTGCCCGCTGCGCCCTTCCCGACCAAACCCGTTGGTTTCCCCGTCCCACTGAGCCCCCCGAGGCCGCTGCGCACAGGTACAATTGGCCTGCCGAGGGGCTGACCTTAGGTGGTGGGAACACATCTTCATCGATGGCTCGTGCTTCGAGCCAGCACTCCCAAAGATCAGATCGGCGGGGTGGGGGGTTGTGGTGACGGACGGTTGGGGAAGGGTGGATCGCGCGATTTGGGGGCGCGTGCCCCTTTGTGCTGCTCCTGCACAGGTTGCTCGGGATGGCGAGGACTATGCTGTGCTATCGCTGGTGCACCATGCTGCTGTCTTCCCTGGGGCCTGTCTCTACGGGGACTGTTCGGGCACCTTGGGGTCTGTCCAGGACCCTATAGGCGCTGTCAACCCAGATAATGCTCGTTCTCATGTGTGGCAGCACGTGCACGATCAGTTCGACGGAGTCTCGTAGTGCAAGGTCCCCGCCCATTGCACCATGCGCTATGTTGAAAACGGTAAGCTCAGCCGGCTCGAGTATTTACGGAATCGAGCGGCAAATGAAATTGCGAACAAAGGAACCGCTCTTGGTAGGATCCCCGGCCCCGATAGGCTTGTAGTCGAGGGGTGCCATGAATTGGTCCGTCTTGTGTGTAAGTATTCGGCGGAGCAAGAGGCTCGGATTGGTGGCCGACAGGAGTTTGACCATGTCGGCCTCGAGTGGCTCCGTCACATATCCCTTGACCTCCCCCCTCTCCCTGATGTTGCTCCTCTTCCTCCCTCCCTCCCTGGCGCTGGGCGGGGGACGTGGTCGGAGCTTGGGGGTGGGGAGAGGGACTCGGATGCTGCCGCTCCTGTCGAGTGGCCAGAGCTTTCGGTTTGGCCCGCTCTGGGGCATGCGGCCATTTAGGCGCAGGTTCAAGATACGGAAGGACGCGATCGAAGGTCGATCGCTTTCTGTACGACCTGTGGCTCGGTATGCACTGTAGGAGGTCACGGGGGAAAAACATCTCTCGCGTCGGGATGTGTTGGACACCGCTCGTCGGGCGGAGAGCGGCAGTTGGCTTGGATTTCGCAAGGCCGCCACCCGTCCAAGAGCAGCTTTCGTGTATCCCGGGTGTCCGTGTTGTCGGACCCCGCGTCGAAGATGTCTCTCGACGCCGTCCCATCGCTCGCGCCGCCGCCGTCCAGACGCTCCCTGGCTGCCTCTTCTCGGGGGAGGGTGGGGGCGGCGCGGTGGGCGGGCACTGGGGTCGACCTTCACCGATGCCTATCACTATTTGGGTTCCGATCTCGGGAGGACGCTGAGTCTCTCGGTCTCCGAGCGCGGGAGCGCCGACGGCAATTTGTGCCGCCCGACGAGGATATCGGCCCCTTCTACCTCATTGGAGTTAGTTTGCCTGTTGATGCATGTTTGATGTGGCGGCACCTTCCTAGCCGTTGCCGAGCTCCTTATCGTCCTCCTCCTCCTTCCCTCGCCCCTGGCTAGCAACTTGCATCCAGCATCCAGGTTTTCCACACAGAGTCGACACAGCAACTTTCGTTGAGATCAGGCAACAACACACCAAATTATAGATTAACCACGCATGGCCACGAGGAGTGCTGCTTCTGGCACACAACAAACTTCACCTCTCCCCCACGCGAGCCCCGTGGGTGGCCCGAAGGGGCCCTCCAAAACCACTCCTTTGCTCCCAGAAAAATCTAATTGTTCACTCTGGCCGCCCGCTTTGTTTCGCTACACGTGTTCCTCTCATGGGAAGGGTTTCCACATGGGCTGATGGGGGTACGCGAAGCGTGGGGACTTTTTTTATCGCAACCGCAGGCGAAGGCGCCAACGGCGAGTCGAGTCAGCTCGGGCTACGAGCGGAACTAATTGCCGGCGCGCGCGCAGGCACCAGCAGAACCTATCGCGGCGGGAAGCTGCTGCGCCGAGGGCAGTTGCTGCAACCGCCGAGGGAAGCGAGGCAGCGCCGAGGGCGGGGACCGCAAGCTGCTGCGGCTGCCAGGAAGCTGCAAGCGTGCGGGTACCCCAGGGGCGCGACCACCAGGTACGTGAAAGCGTGGGGGCACGCGAAACGTGAAGAATTTGGAACGACAATGCACAACTGCCAGAATCCTACCAGCCTTCTGGGCGTACGTGGTTGAAAGGCCCCCCGTTCGAGAGCTGGCTCACGGCAGGACCTGGGACAGAAGAACACCCTTCAGGAACACGAGACCCTCCGCCAGTCACACCGAATAACACTCGAGGGCACCTGACGATGACGATGACGATGATGGTGACGGTATCGTCACCATCGTCATGATCATCCCCAGGATGCACAAGAACATGCACCCCCCCCCCCGAATCGACCTCGATCTTGTACACCTCGGCCCGGCCGTGCCCTTCTGCCCAGCCCATCGGCCTGGAACAGACGGGCCGCCCCGCCAGCTGTCAGAGCGTCTAAGATGGCCCCAGGTAGCACACGATTGCACCCAAGATTGTAACGCCGCGGGAACACCTGCTGATCTGAAACAGCAATGAACAAACACAAGAATCCTGCCAGCCTTCTGGGCATAACTACACAAAATGTCTTCCACTCCGGGAAGTGGTTTACCCTTCCGCCCACCCCTCGCTCTGGACAGGCCGCCCCGCGAGCTGTCAGAGCGCTCAGGACGACCCTAGATACCTCCAAGATGGCCCCAGGTAGTCCACGGTTGCCTCCAAGATGGCGCCAGATGGCCGAGATGGTCTCCAGCATGCCTCCAATGAGGCGTCAAGACGGCTCCAAGACGAGGTGGCTACGGAGCCTCTCACGGATCGTCCCGAGAGCCCAGAATCGTTCTGACGTTTCGCGTGGTGCTCGCCTTCTCGCGCGTTCACTTCCGATGGGTTTCGGAGGCCCCAAAATAGCATCGAGATGGCCCAAGAGCGCCCCAAGAGGTGCCCAGAAGGGCCCCACGACAACCCCACGTTGCTCCAAGATCAACCGGAGAACGGCCCAAGAAGGCCCCGTGGGCGATCCTCGAGACGGGGCGCTAATTCGGGACCCCACACTTTTTTATAGACAATCTCATGGATCGGCACGGGATGGCACTGGAAGGCACCCGAGAGGGCCTCAGGGGAAGATTGCCGCAAACGCTCCAAGAATGGCCCCGAGAGCGCCACAAGATGGCTCCACGGAGGCTCCCGGGTTAGATCTGTTTCACTACTGGGCGAAACATGCCAAGGTGCACGTAGCCAAACGGGCTGCGTCTATCCGCAATCGCAGAAGCCATAGAACGCGCGCTGTATTAAGCGCACTGGCCGCCCCTTCTTATGGGAATCGGGGCGGCTCAATCGGGCACCGAGAAGAAGGAGGGGAGGGCGAGACGCCCACACTCAGCAATCAAGTCATCTGCCCCTTGCCTCGGTGCTGCCTCACAGGCTCAGGACTTTTCCCCACGCCGTCCCCGCCGAAATCTCTTCTGCCTCAACGTACGCGCAGAACTCTGCCAGCATCACAACGTTGTCGTTGCCATACTCTTTGCCATCGGCGTCCCTGCCGCTGTTCATCTTCTTGAACACGTCCGCCGCGCCCGCGGCGTCCATTGCAGCCGCCTTCTTGAGGCCGATGAAGCCATGGTCCGCTACCTTCTTGTAGCCTGCCGCCCACTCCTCCGCCGTCATCCTGCGATCGTCGCCAGACTTGTCCTCGACGGTGCCACCACCGCCGTCGATGAGGGCGAAGGCGTCGTACATTGCTGCGTACAGGATGAGGTAGGTGCAGAGGACGCGGAACTCCTTCGCTGTCACGTAGTCGTCGCTGTGAGACGTCTTCGAATCTGCCACGTCCTTCGCATCTGTGTGGGCGCGGATGTAGGAAGGCCGGAAGCACTTCCAGATGCGCGTCCCCTCCTCCTTGGGATCTCCGTCGCATTCGCCCTGCGCGAAGTAGGTTATCAAGACCTTCTGGATCCACCCATCCACTTCGGCGAGGGACACGTACCCATTGCCGTTGGGGTCGCAGGCCGTGAAGGCGTGAGCGCGGGCCTCCTTCCCGGCCTCGCTCTGCAGCGTCAGGCTTGCGAAGACGTCGCAGAATGTCTTGCACGCAGGGGACATGCCGGGGTGCTTGAAGTCGGACTTGTCGCCGCTGCTTAAGTAGTCTGCGAGCTCGCTAGAGCTGATGCTTCCACTGCCGTCCTTGTCGCACTTCTTCCAGACGGTCATCACGGACGACTCGGAGATGTTTGGGTCCCCTTGCTTGAGGAGCGCCTTGAACTCGTCCAGGCTGATCTTGCCGCTGCCATCCTGGTCCACCTGGGCGAACTTCGCCTTGAGGCTAGGAGGCTTGGTCTTCGGCATATCTCAGACGGATCGCGTGGCAGTCCTCCAAGACGCTTGGCCCTACTTATGATCAGCTATTTGAGCCAAAATGGATTGAGCCAAAATGGCTACGGACCCAAAGGTTGGCTGATGTTGGGGGCTGCTCGGGCTGACCCGTTCGGCTACTCCATCAAGCGCGAGCTTCGAAAAGGACCTTTTTGGCTGACTCGTCGGACTGGTCGGTCTGATCCCAATCTGCGATTTGACGGCTCCACTCTTTGTGTCGCTGCGTGCTCTGCTTCCCTGCTAAAGGCAGCTCGCCTGGGACTCGGTCTGGATGGCTGGTGGCGCGAAGCGTCAACAACTGCAGTTGGTGTTACTTCCAAAGGCTTTCGGTTTATTCGATAGCCTCGGGAAGATAAGGCCAGCCCCAAGAAGCCACCAATACAGCCCTGAGAAGGCTCCAATATGGATCAATACCTCCGCAAGACGGCTCAAAGTTGCCCCGAGAGAGCTGCAAAACGGCCCAAACACGGTTGCAACATGCCCTGAGACGAACAAAAAACATCTAAACGATCGCCCGAAGGTTCCAACATGTCCTCGAGATGCCCAAGAGGCGCCGAGAAGCCCCCAAGAGAAGCCCATCGACACCGTCAACGAGGCCCTGGCAGGCGGATGTGTTTTGTTGTCCGCGCTCTACTCAACATGTATGGTCCATACCGTCGGCTCCCGCCCGGTTCGTCTCCGATCTCACCCCCTAGAAAGGGGATTCCTTTTGCTTACCGGCACGGGTGATCCTGCGTCAGCGAGCGGGGGGGTGGACACAGACGGGCGGTCGGGTCGGGCGGGCCCTCACTTGGGGCGGACGGGTCGGGCCAAGCGGATACGAGCCGACGGGACTGGCGGACGGGCCCCCACGGGGGAGGGTCGGGCGGGCGGGACCGCGAAACCTCGGGCGGGCGAGCTTCCAAGCACATGCGAGCGGGCGGGCGCTGACGGGCTCGTCGGACGGGCTGGCCCCAACAGCCGGGTCGGACGGGCAGGTCCGCAGAGGCGGGCCGGGCGGGCGGGAAAATGTCGAGCGCCAAGATGGCCTCGGGGGCCCGTCTTGAGACTCTCACGGGTCTCTAGGGTACCCTCAATACCAAAACTAAAAGCTGGTGTGCCACATCGGCCGTTCGGCCTTCATGGAATGTAAAACTGCCCGAGGAGGCCCCCAATATACAGCCCACTCCAATCCTCAAAAGCAGCCCAGGAGGCTTCCAAGACGGCCCCAAGAGGAGCCCCAGAGGGAACCTGCCAGAAGACCCCAGGGACGTGGCCGGGGATCCACCCCCGAGATGCCCACAAGACCTGCCGCATGTCTTTCGAGCCCCCGAGGAGCACCCTCCAAGACGCCCCATTAGGACCTGGGAGCCCCCCCGCAAGAAAGAACCCCAGGAGGCCAACCTTTCAAGGATGCGCAGCATTCCCAACCATGCTGATGGGACCCCTTAGTGGGGGATCTCTTGGCACATGCTGGCTGCGTGACGCTCCCTTTCTCGCCTCGGGCGCACCTGCTGCGCGATATTATCCATCGCTCCACCGTGGGTTCCCAGCGGTCGAAGAACACGCATGCGCCCTGGCCCACAGACTAGGCACGGTGGCGCGATGGACCGAAGACCACAATGCTTTTTTCTATCACGACAGGAGGAGCGGCCCGAACAGTCTTACACGGTCCCTGGAAGCGTGACTCAAATGGAAGTCTGCGGTGCGGATCCTCGACGTGTCGTACTGTCGTCGTCCAGCCAGGCTGCCTGTCCGCGACTCGTCCGCGACGCACCCACGACGATGCTTCCATCGCAGCGACGCCTGCGGCAGCCAGGCCCACGCACACTGCATAGAACAGCAGAAAGAAGCCTGCGGCTGGCGCGGCTTCGGAGAACGCAGCAGGGTGCGCCCCGATCCAGGCGGCCGCTCAATCTTATCCGCAGCTAGAGAGGACTAGGTCTACAGAATACCCTAGTCCCACCTGCCGTAACGACATGCTGATGATCTATCAAACCGACAGTCCAACCACCGTCCCCACCAGAACTGAAAACCTGATTGTTAAGCTTACCTCTTACCGCCGCCAAGTATCGCCTCGGTGTTTCGCACGCACACACCAACTTCTCTTCGCACACCAAATGCCTGCTCGCAAGAACCTTGCTTCGCACGCACGCATGGCACGACACAAGTGAACCGAAACGGGCACGGAGTTCCCGGTTGTGTCCACCCCGCTCTCCCCTCCAACCTCCAGGTCATAGCTCTACTCATGCTCACGCATGTAATCCTCCTCCTCCTCTTCCTGCTGCTGCTGCTCCTCCCCCCAGTCCCCCATCAGAGTGAGAGGGACTGAAGGTTTTACACTGTTCCTGGGTGCATGACCGAGGTGGGGCTCCGAGGTGTGGAGTCCTGCCCCCCGCCCGACAGATTGGGGCTGATAGATTTGAGGAAGAACGCTCCAGACCCGCCTCGCACAATCTGCAGACCACGGCCACCAGGCCCCGAGGGGCCTAGTGCTCCCGGAGGATCCCGCATCGCGCCTTCAGTGAATGATGACTGCATGCCGCGACCACCAAGCACCGAGGGGCTTACAGCCCCCTGGGGATCCCACTGCGCGTTCTCGGGTGGATCGCTGGAATCAAAATCATGTGTTTTTGTTTATGTTTGCTCGTGTTGCCATCGCCCGCCCGCCAGGCGACCCGCCTGGCGATCCGCCTGCAGCGCGCTGACGACCCAACCCGCGCCCGCGGCGACACTCGACTGCCGCGTCCTTCGCCCGACGCGACTTACACCCGCGCCCCTGAATCAGGAGGCATATTCCGCCTCCTCGGCTGCCTCCTCAATCATCAGGCTGATCTTCATGGTCACCATGTTCATCATCATCATCATCATCATCATCATCATCATCATCATCATCATGATCATCATCATCATCATCATCAACAACATCACCAACAACATCATCACCATCACCATCACCATCACCATCATCACCACCAACACTAACACCAACACCAACACCACCACCACCATCATCATCATCATCGTCACCATCAATCACCATCATCATCAGTATCAGCATCAGCATCCGCATCAGCATCATCAGCATCAGCATCATCACCTTTATCATAATATTCAGCATCATCGTCAGTATCATCATCATCCTCATCATCAGCATCATCATCATCATCATCATCATCGTCACCATGATAATCATCACCAGCATGATCACCATCATCGTCATACGCATCATCATCATCATCATCATCATCATCATCATCATCATCATCATTATCATCATCATCGGCATCAGCCTCGTCATCATAAGTGTCGTCATCACCATCATCATCAGCAGCATCGTCATCGTCATCGTCATCGTCATCGTCATCGTCATCGTCGTCATCACCATCATCATCAGCAGCATCGTCATTGTCCTCGTCATCGTCGTCGCCATCGCCATCGTCATCATCAGCATCATCATCCTCATCATCATCATTGTCATTATCATCAACATCATCAACTTTATCATCAGCAGCAGCATCATCACGGCCGTTATCCTCGCCATTCCTGAAGGTCCGACATTACGAAACCACACAACACTTTATAAAGACACGACCATAATGCTCGACATCATCTTTCTACCGCACCCTCCGAGCCGGATCGATCCGTAAGTGCCCTGGGGCCCGAAAAAAGTCACAATCGCCCGTTTTGAAAAATTGAAGCGTCAAAATCTCAGGGTCCTGGCCACCATCTTTCTGCGGCACCCTTCGAGCCGGATCGATCCGGAAGGGCCACCGGGCACGCAATGAAGTCCCGGTCGCCCATTCTGAATAGCTGCAACGCCAAAATCTCAGGGCTCTCAACATCCTCATCATCTTCGACCCCCAAGAGTCTCGACGCATCCGTGGGGACCAGCTTCTCGTCCCGAGTCGTTTCTCTTGACGTCCCCAGGGTCCAGCGGTGGCCTCCAGGTGCCGAAGACCGAAGAGTAGGAACACCAAGAAGAAACACGTCCGTCGGTCTTTTTGACCATGCGACGGGGTCAACATCCTCCTCCTCCTCCTCCGTCCTAGTCCGTCCTCCTCCGTCCTCCGTCCTCCTCCTCCTCCGTCCTGCTCCTACGTCCTCCTCCTCCTCCTCCTCCTCCTCCGTCCTCCTCCTCCGTCCTCCTCCTCCTCCTCCGTCCTCCTCCTCCTCCTCCTCACCACCATCTGCACCACCTGTCGGGACCGCCCAGGCTGGCGCGCCTCATGACTCGGAGGCAGGATCACCGCGCTCTGGCCAACCCACGCCGCGCTCGGCCTCGCCCGCCCTGGCCAGCACCGCCTGGCGGACGCCCCCCGCGCATTTGGGGAGGCTCAAAGGTTGGCAACCTCGGGGGGGAGTCAATGCTGTCGGGGATCCGTGTTGGGCACTCGGACCTCATATTGGACGCCCGCCATTGGTAGGGCAAAAATTGGCACGATGCCCAGCATCGAATGTTACTCGAAACAGACAACGGCCGCTGTTGGACAGGCAACCTGTAGTCTCATATGGACAACGCCTGCGACAACACCGACAACAAGTCCTGGTCAACATGGACAGGAATCGCGATTTGTCCTCGTGCCCATTATTTCTCTGGATCGGTGCTTCATCCCGAGCCGTTCTCAGGCGCAGTAGGGGCCCAGAGAGGCCGAGAACGATGAAAAACCCATGTCCCGATTTCTTCGAGACGCCGGATGTCTGGGTATATTGTGGTCTGGGCCTCCCAAATGGGGTCGGAGCAGATGTGGTCCGAAGATTGCGCCGCATCGCCGATTCTTTCCGCAACCATTCTTCCCCGTACGCACATGGCACTGCCAGAAATTTAGCAGGGACCGACCGTCCCGGCTTTCCTATAGGCATCGCCTGGGATCGCCACTCTTGATTCCTTGGAATCGATTCCAAGGGAGGTAAGAGACTTTTCCCCCCGCGCGCCCCGTCTAAACCAATACTTTAGGAATCCCTGGGAATCGATTCCTAGGGATTTCAAAGGTGACTCCAAAAAGGTTTCCCCCCCGGATTCTTCCATATTCTGAATATCAGGTTTCCTTGGCTTTCCCGCTGATGGAGACGATTTGGAACTTACCCTGGTATTGCCCAAGAAATCTGAAGAAGCCGATAAATGCCAAAAATGGTTTCACATGTGATTTTCCCAGAGCGCTCCCACTTCTGGGCTTAACACTTGGAATATTCCGATAATGATCCCGGGCTCGCTTTTGAAATCCCTGGGAATCGATTCCCAGGGATTTCGAAGGTGATCCCAAGGGTGCGCGCATGGGTGCGCGTGCGCGCCCGGGCGTGGCTGCGCGCGCGTGCGTGCGGGAGCGCGGGTTTCAATTCTTCCTGGGTGGCGAGTGGGCGGGGGTTTTCTGACAATGGTCCCGGGGTCGTTTTGGAAAACCCTGGGAATCGATTCCCAGGGTTCTCGAGGGTGACTCCACGGGTGTTTTCGGAACGTCCCGCGTTCACGGTTTCAGGTTCTTTGGGGGCACTCCCGTGGATTACGACCGTGCCCGCGCCCGCTCCCACGCCCGCCCGCGTAACCCGCGGGATATATATATATATATATATATATATATATATATATATATATATATATACACATATATATATATATATATATATATATATATATATATATAGAGATATAGGAAAAAACAAAAAAAACGTGAAACATCCATGAAAGGCGATGGTTTCCCGCGCCCCCCTCCCAAACGCGCCATTGCCGCTGCCGCGCCGGCGCTCGTTTCCGCGCCCGCCCGCGCATCCCGCGGAAAAAATATAAAACCAAACGGGTCGATGAACAGCCACGGCTCCCCCCTCAAACGCGCCATTGCGGCTGCCGCGCCCGCGCCCGTTTCCGCGCCCGCCCGCGCAAGTGCCCCGCGGAAGGAGGGAACCCGAAGAATCTACGAAAGAGGCGCGAAAAGGCGCGATCCTGTTCACGCCCATTTGGAACCTGAAACAAGGCATTTGCTCAAGGAGAACGGACCGCTTCAATGTCCAAAGCGGATTCTGGATCCTGAACCTGTCCGCCCCCATCAAACAAATGGCCCGTTTCGGGCTCCGAATGGGCGCGAACAAGACCGCATCCAGTCTTGAACCTGGCTCCGTCCGTCTCTGCAAAAAATCGGTCGAACTCAAGACCCAGAACGGATAAACAGAAACACGCGACTGAATCAACAGAAATGGGCCGCCCCCGCCCCGACGCCAAAGCGGAACCGAGACAACGCGAAAACATGACGGGACCGCTCCCCCGCGGAAAAGCTGCGAAACTCAACGCAAACGACCACGTCCGCTTGATTCGGCCCGTGTCCCGCAAAAGAACGGACCGAGTCAGACTCCAGAGCGGGCGCGATATTTAATCAAAATTTTGCCGTTTTCCCGCAGTCGACGTCGCGACGGCGCGACAACGAAGGTGTAAGGGGACCTGACAGGCGGGGTGGAGTCAGTGCGTGCTGCCCTCGGAGGCAAGTAGTCGCAGTAGTAGTAGTAGTAGTAGTAGTAGTAGTAGTAGTAGTAGTAGTAGTAGTAGTAGTAGTAGTAGTAGTAGTAGTAGTAGTAGTAGTAGTAGTAGTAGTAGTAGTAGTAGTAGTAGTAGTAGTAGTAGTAGTAGTAGTAGTAGTAGTAGTAGTAGTAGTAGTAGTAGTAGTAGTAGTAGTAGTAGTAGTAGTAGTAGTAGTAGGAAGTAGTAGTAGGGGTAGTAGTAGTAGTAGTAGTAGTAGTAGTACTAGTAGTAGTAGTAGTAGTAGTAGTAGTAGTGGTAGTGGTAGTCGTCGTAGTAGTAGAAGTAGTAGTAGTACTAGTACTCGTAGCCGTAGTACTAGTAGTAGTAGTAGTAAAAGTAGTAGTAGTAGTAGTAGTAGTAGTAGTAGTAATAGTAGTAGTAGTAATAGTCGTAGTAGTAGTACGGGTAGTAGTAGTCGTAGCAGTAGTACTCGTCGTAGTACTGGTACTGGTACTGGCAGTAGTCGTAGTAGTAGTAGTAGTAGTAGTCGTAGTAGTAGTGGTAGTAGTAGTAATAGTAGTAATAGTAGTAGTACTAGTAGTAAGAGGAGTAGTGGTATTAGTCGTAGTAGTAGTAGCAATAGTAGTAGTAGTAGTAGTAGTCGTAGTCGTAGTAGTCGTAGTAGTAGTAGTAGTAGTAGCAGTAGTAATAGTAGTAGTAGTAGTACGACTACTACTAGTAGTCGCAGTCGTAGTAGTAGTAGTAGTAGTAGTAGTAGAAGTAGTAGTAGTGGTAGTAGGAGTAGTAGTAGTAGTAGTAGTAGTAGTAGCAGTAGCAGCAGTAGTAGTAGTAGTAGTAGTGGTAATAGTAGTAGTAGTGTAGTATAGTAGTAGTAGTAGTAGTAGGTAGTAGTAGAAGTAGTACTAGTAGTAGTAGTAGTAGACTACTACTACTGGTAGTCCTAGTAGTAGTAGAAACACGTTGTTGTAGTAGTAGTAGTGGTAGTAGCAGTAGCACCAGTAGTAGTAGTAGTAGTAGTAGTAGTAGTAATGGTAGTAGTAGTAGTAGTCGTAGTAGTAGTAGTAGTAGTAGTAGTAGTAGTAGTGGTCGTTGTAGTAGTCGGCGTAATAGTCGTCGTAGTGGTAGTAGTAGTAGTAGTAGTAATAATCGTCGTAGTAGTAGTCGTAGTAGTAGCAGTAGTAGTAGTAGTAGCAGTACTATTCGTGGTAGTAGTAGTAAGAAGAGTAGTGGTAGCAGGTAATAGTAGTAGTCGTGGTAGTAGTCGTCGTCGTAATCGTAGTAGTAGTCGAAGTAGTAGTAATAATAATACTAATAGTAGTAGTAGTAGTAGTAGTAGTAGTAGTGGTAATCGTAGTAGTAGTAGTAGTAGTAGTAGTAGTAATAGTAGTAGTAGTCGTAGTAGTAATAGTAGTAGTAGTAGTCCTCCCAAAACTACTGGTAGTAGTAGTCGTACTCGTAGTCGTAGTCGTACTCGTAGAAGTAGTAGTAGTAGTAGTAGTAGTAGTAGCAGTAGCAGTCGCAGTAGCAGTAGTCGTAGTAGTAGTAGTAGTAGTAGCAGTAGTAGTACTACTACTAGTAGGCGTCGTAGTGGTAGTAGTAGTAGTGGTAGTAGTGGTGGTAGTAGTAGTAGTAGTAGTAATAGTAGTAGTGGTAGTAGTAGTAGTAGTAGTACACGTAGTAGTAGTACTAGTAGTACTAGTAGTGGTAGTAGTAGTAGTAGTAGTAGTAGTAGTAATAGACCGCAGTACTAGTAGTAGTAGTAGTTGTAGGAGTAGTAGTAGTAGTAGTAGTAGTAGTCGTCGTAGTCGTAGTCGTAGTAGTAGTAGTAGTAGTAGTAGTAGCAGTAGTAGTCGTAGTCGTAGTCGTAGTAGTAGTAGTAGTAGTCGTATTAGTAGTAGTAGTAGTACTACTACTACTAGCAGTAGTAGTCGTCGTAGTCGTAGTCGTAGTCGTCGTAGTAGTAGTAGTAGTAGTAGTAGTAGTAGTAGTAGTAGTAGTAATAGTAATAGTAATCATAGGAGTAGTAGTGTTAGTACAAATAGTAGTAGCAGTAATAGTAGTAGTAGTAGTAGTAGTAGTAGTGGTAGTAGTAGTAGTAGTAGTAGTAGTAGTAGTAGTTGTAGTAGCAGTAGTAGTAGTAGTAGTAGTAGTAAAAGTAGTAGTAGTAGTAGTAATTAGGAGTAGGAGTAGTAGTAGTAGTAGTAGTAGTAGTCGTAGTAGTAGTAGTAGTAGTAGTAGTAGTAATAGTAGTAGTAGTAGTAGTAGTAGTAGCAGTAGTAGTAGTGGTAGTGGTAGTAGTAGTAGCCGTAGTCGTAGTCGTAGTCGTAGTCGTCGCAGTAATAGTGTCCGTGGTTGTAGTATTACCACTCGTATCGCAAAGCGGGAGGCGATCATGTCTGGCAGACCCACTCGACTAGCCTGTGACGTCGTCGGCTTGGAATCGCGCCCAGGGCACGGCGGACTCTGGATCCTGAAACTGCCCGCCCCCATTAAGCAAATGGCCCGTTTCGGGCTCCAACTGGGCGCGAAGAAGACCGCGTCCATTCTTGAACCTCTCTGCAAAAAATCGGCCGGACTCAAGACCCAGAGCGGATAAAAAGAAACACGCTACTGAATCAACAGAAATGAGCCGCCCTCGCCCCGACGCCAAAGCGGAACCGAGACAACGCGAAAACATGACGGGACCGCTCCCCCGCGGAAAAGCGGTGAAACTCAACGCAGACGACCACGTCCGCTCCGGATCCTGATCCGGCACGTGTCCC